TGTAAACTTGTGGCAATGGTAGAGAGGAGCACAGAAGCCAGAGCAGGGGCCCAGAGAAAAGGAGAGAAATTGGTGGCAGGCCAGCATTACACTGAGAACTATTTGAGACTGATTGCTGCCGGGTGAGGGAGAGTATGACTTACATAGGATCACTAGATGGACTGACTGGACTCCAGTGGACCATTTGCTCTCAAGGACACTTGGGTACAAATGCCCAAATGAATAGGACTTAGCATGTATGGTGAACTACATGAGGTTTGGTGGGGGGATGAAGGGGACATGAATGGAGGAGGGGGTCTGAATTTAAGAACTGTTATATGAAGTTGCAAAAGCTCGATTTAAAAAATGAATTTTAAAAAATTAAATTATTTTTAAAAAACAGATGTTATCAAAACAAATTAAGGCCATCAGTAACTGTCTGAATACATGAAAATCTACAAAATAATTCCAAGGCAAACGTATGAAAAAGTTCATCTCCAACAATAACAATTGCAATGCTCACTAGGCATGGCGGCTCATGACTATAATCTCAGCACTTAGGAGGCAAAGGCAGGATGACTGCTCTAAGTTTGAGCCCAGCCTGGTATGAACAGTGAGCTCTAGCTCAGTCCAGGCTACATATGGGACCTGGTTGAAAAAAAGGCAATAAGGCTCAATAGTGCCAAGGAAATAGCATGCTTAAGAAACATGAGGGAAAAAACAATTACTACACATTTTCAAGAACTCAAAATGTCCTGTAACTGTGGTGAGTCACCTGTTCTTCTGTTCAGGGAGGCCATGGAGACCCCACAAGATGAACTTGAACTAGTGTCCAGTCTACAAAGAGGAGGATCCACTCAGAGGACACATTTCCTCCATACTGCCAAGTGAAGCCAGCCACAGTCGAACAGGACCTTTGACTTATCTTCACAAAGATGGAACTGGTAAAAGAAAGGAGACAGGGGCTCCTCTGAAGCCCATGTGACCCCTGAGAACAGATCCTCCAACAACTTGAAGAGTAAAAATAAATTGGTTTATTTGGGTTGACTGTATGGTCTTAAACACCCAAAAGGAAAGTATAACCAAATATTAAAGTGATCAGTATATTTAAGAGTTCAAGGGATTATACTTCCCAGACACTAAGCTTAAGTCCATATAAAATGTTATTTAGACAATTATTTCTCACTGATGATTTTGTTTCTAAGCAGAATGTGCTGCTCAGATATAAGACTTCAAATCTTGGTCTGCAATACTATAGTGTCCACCTGTAGCTAAGGGAAATAACCTACTATTGTTCTAAAATAATGGCTAAATTTGTTTTCTCCCTCTATATAGAAGCCTTTGAGAGGGAACTGACACTGATTCTAGCCATTCCAATAGCTATCAAAGTGCTTGAAAACAAATCCTGGCCTTGGCAGACAAAAAAAATATAATAATAAGGAGGAACCCAATAGAGGGATGCTTTTGGAAGCTCTTGTCAAGAAATCCCAATGGACTCTGATATGAACATTTGAAATTTGCCCTGTTCTGACTTTTTTCTGGTTCCCTGTCTAGAACTTATAATGCTAACTACTCTTGCCTTTACTTCTCATCCCCTATTCACCAGTCAAGGACTTTCTTTTTCCCCTTAGAGATAAGAGTTATGCAATTTGGGGGTCTTTTAGATAGACCCACTGAAGGGGTACTCCAATTGCCTCACCCTGTGTCCCCGTTCAGCATGGAAGAAGCCAGAGTGGTCTGAGTCCTGATTCCTTATTGGCAATTTGAGTAACCACTTCAGAGAATGGTGTGATAAGAATAGGAGGTAGGAATTGGCTAGGCAGTTAGGGTAAAAAAGACTCCAAAGAAACCTAGCCAGTTTCTTGGCTAAAAGTCAAAATGTCCTTTGGCCTCTTAGCAACATACTCTGTTCCTAAGGCCAAAACTTTCAAAGTATTTGGGAGCTCTTATCTAATTCCTAAAAGATTTAAGGATTACCTCTTCAGAGGAGGGAATGTTAGAGTATCAAAAAGCCCATTAAAAGGGAAAGAAAGGAAGGGAGGGAGGGAGGGAGGGAGGAAGGAAGGAAGGAAGGAAGGATACACAAAGTTGTCAGAAAAAAAGTGATGGGGAGATATGGGAGGTGTTGGAGGGGAGGGAATGGGTGTGGATTTGATCAAAACACCTTATATGCATGTAAGAAATTCTCAGTAAAGTTTTTTTAAAAGTTAAATGTTCAAATATACTTTTACACAATAATTAACTTAAAATTTATCCTAAGAAAATAATATGAAGGTTATTATACACAAAAATGTAAATTTTGTATTATTTCAAGTAGTATGAAATAAACAAAATCCAACAGGAAGGCACTGGAAAACAATCTAATAAATTCTGGCTCTCTTCCTCACAGCACCCAGGAGGCTGTTCCTGAGGTCCACCTAGATGATCTTCTGGCTGCAACTTTTCAAAACACTTCTTCCATTCTTTCATAACATTGCAGCTTATAATGATGCATTTATCTTTGCACGTCTTTCTCTTGATGGTCCCATCCACTAGATTATAAGCTGAGTTAAGGCAGCAGCTTTCCATTTTGCTCATAATATACCCCTTCAGCCACACTTCTGGGAGAGAATGAGTATTCTAATTTTGTTGAATAAATGTACACATGAACAAAAAGTTTAATACCTCATTAAAATATTTCTGAAATATTTAGATGACACAGAAAATGTCTATAGTATATTAGTGGAGAAAGAAGATCATTTATACTATATAATCTCGCCATTAAACATTATTATTATTATTTTATTTTATAGTTTTATTTCATTTGAGACAAGCTTCATATGTGGCCCTAGCTGTCCTAGAACTCTGTATGTAGACCAAGATAACCTCAAAATTGAGTCAATCCTCCTGTCTCTTCCTCTAGATTCTGGAATTACAGGTGTGCCACACCCTGCCCAGTGAGTGCTACCACTAATACATGAGAAGAAAATATCTACAGTATTAGTACTGATTGAGTGTTAAAAACACATAAATACTATTAGTTTCATCTTATTTGTCTATATTGAAAAATCTTTTTTTAATCCAAAATCTTATCATGTTTATTTCTGTCACATTCTTCACTTCTATCTATATTCAAAATATTGTATATATTTCCAAAGTTAAATAATAGGAAATATATTAACAATAAATGTATATATGTTAATTAATAGACATATATAATGTAAAATATATCATACAATAGTCCATAAAACATAAGCATACCTTATCCTTATTAACTGTTTATATTCATAATTTTATGATACTAGTCTTTGTCATATTTATCTACATATGAAATTTTTATAATGGTATATGTTATTTATATAATAAAATAATACATAAATCATGAAAGAAATCATGGGAACAAAGGAAAGGAGGAGAGAAAGTAAAGCAGCGCCTGGACTCCCAGGGAGGCCCTGAGGTCATCCACTACAGCTAGGAGCTGAGTACTGCATGGGGCAGCAGACCACCAGCAGCAGACATGGGATGTTCAAGACCACAAAACAGGAAAAGATGATGTGGCCAGCTTATGCCTGCCTTAGTTTTGTTTCTGTTTCTATGGTAAAATATACTGACAAAAACCAGCTCAGGAGAGAAAGACTATTTTAGCTCACGGTGCCACACAGTTCATCACTGTGGGGAAGTCACACTATCAGAAGCTTGAGACATCTGGTCACTTCACATCCTCAGTCGAGAGCAGAGAGAAACAAATGCATGCATACCTCTGGTGCTTGCTCACTTCCTCCACTCCTATACAATCCAGGACCCCAAGCCCAGGGGATGGTGCTGTGCACAGTGGGCAGGGTCTTCCCACATCAATAATCAATAAATATAATCAAGACAATCCTCCATGCATACCCACAGACCTAACTGATTTAGAAAATTCCTCACTGAGACTCTCTTCCCAGATGATTCTAAATTGTATCAAGATAACAATTAACAATATACTAAGCTGTTTATGGCTATTTATGCGTCCATTCACACCCACATGGCTGGGGGCTGCTGTCAGGCTAGAATGATAGCTTTCAATAGAGAAGACACAAGTGATCTTAACTCAAAAACTGACATTACAACAGAGATGTTATGATACATCAACTGTAAAATATTTACTCTCTGGCCCTTGGCAGACAGTCTTCTGAATTCTTGGCAGACAAAGTCTTTTGAGTCTATATATATTTTAGAGAAGGAAAAAACCTGAAAGAAGTTAGAGGGTGGTAATAAGGACCATCACTGTAAAGCTGACAGGGAAATGAAGGTGCAGCCAATGAGTTATGCCCATTGGTGCAGTAGGGGCACAAATATTATGGGAATAACTAATCAATCCTTAATTAGAAGGTCCATTTCCTAGAGAAGTTTCTGTATGCAACAGGAGATGATTAACGTAGGAACCCACAACTGGCCAGTGTGCCGAAAACATGGGGCTGCAGAGCACTTGTCCCTTAATGAGATACCTATATCAAACTTCCTCTTCCCAAGGCTCAGGGGTCATTGGGAAAGAGGCGGTGGAAAGATTGTAAGAGCCGAAGGTGCACGACCACAAGGAAACAGAGTTTTCCAGACAGCTGGTCAGTTCTTCATATGAACTTTCAGCAATGGTGACAGCACGCACAAGTCCCATGAAACTCAAACCAAAAAAAAAAAAAATCAGCAAAGAAGAAAGTGGGTAAGAAACTCCAACCCCAACTAAGGTAATCTCAACAAAGATGGCTGCTGGGAGGGGCAGAGACAGCCTCTTTCAAGCATGGGACTCTTGGTAGGTTAACCCAGCTCCAGTGGATGGACCCACACCAAAGGACATTTGGAGACAGATCTCTGTGGGTTTGAGGTTAGCCTGGTCTACATAATGAATTCCAGGCCAGTTGGGGCTACAGGGAGACCTTGTCTCAAAAATACCAAAAAAAAAAAAAGTTAAAAATACATAAATAAATAAATAAATAAATAAATAAATAAATAAATAAATAAATAAATAAATAGCAGGACAAGGAAGCAACTGTTGAACTGGTTACCTGTAGGATCAGACCCATAGAAACTGGCAGCTGTAGTTATTGGTCCAGGTGGATGAATGGCACTCGCTGAAGACCTCTGACTCGCAATCAGAATCCTGCTCTTAGCAGATGGTAGTCGGGACATTGCTCCGAGTCCCAACTGGGGCTTAAGGAGCATGGCTGATCGATAGAAAGTTGGAGGGACTTCATAATGAGTGTAGGGGGGAGAACAAAATTCTTCTTTCCCGGGATGGTCTGTGACCTACAATAAGAGATCAGAAACTCCATTAGAACACCATCATAGCATGAGTGTAAGCAGGGTCAGGTGCCTATGCTCAAATGATGAACACTCTCATACCATTAGCTGCTTATTCACAAACCTCATATCGTCTCTGGGCTCTGTGTCCTCTAAGATGACAGCACAAATGGGCAACCCCTTAAGTCTCTTGCAGTTCTAATACTCTTTATCTTATATTTCATGGGGAGGAAAAAAAGAACTCACTTTGTAATTTTTAAAATTTCATTACCATTGAAATCTACCCGATGACTTTATATCCATACACAGATGCCAAGGATCGAAGTGCAACTGACCATGACTAGTAATAATCAGATACACACAGATTAGAGACGCATGTGCCAACACTTGTGTTATTAGCAAAAACAATGAGTCTTTCTTAAGAAACAGTATATTTTAAAATGAAATGGAGGTCTTTTTTAAAGGTTAGAAACATTCAATTTTATGTCTTACAGGGTTTATACTGAATTCAATATTGTATAACTGTATTAATTCAACTGTGAACCTAAAAATTTTATAGCCACTTTTGAAAGAGATGTATCTTTGCTCTGGAAATTGTTGTCAAGTATGTGAAAGCTGTAATAAAATGCTTCTTCTAAAAAAATTAAAAATTTTTAAAAATTTCATTGCTATAAACTCATTGAAATTTGGTTATTAATTATTAAATAAATAATACCAATTAAACAAAGAATTTACCAATGTTTATAAAACTATCAAAAGCTTCATTATACCTCTTTAGAAAAGGTATCACTTTTATGGCAGTCTAATTTTACAATAAGTAAATAAACTGTCAGTTTACATTTGACAGAAAATTTTAAAATCATTGATAATAAAGGAGAATTTTTTATTGAACTTTTAAAATTCCATACATTTCCCACTGAAATCCAGACGCTTCCCCTATCTATGCCTCCCCTATCCGCCCACCAAACCCTATGCACTCCGCCATACATGCTGAGTCCTATTCATTGAGGTGTTTGTACGCAAATGTCCTTCGGTGTAAATGTGTCCACTGGAGTCTAGTCAGCCCATCCAGTGGTCATATGTAAGTCATACTCTCCCTCACCCAGAAGCAATCCGTCTCAAATAGTTCTCAATCTAGTGCTGGCCTGCCACCTATTTCTCAACTCCCCCTTCGGCCATTGTTTAATTGAGCTGACATGGATCCCTCGTTTGTTTGATGCCACCACTGCCACAGGCTCACATGAGCAAACCTCCAGTGACCTGGAAGCCTCCGCCTCCCTGTGTTCATGAACCAGCCCTGGCTCTTACGATCTTTCCACCTCCTCTTACATAATGGTCCCTGAGCCATGGGTGGGTGAGGTTCCACATAGAGTCCCATCCTACATTCTACAGTCTCTTATTCTCCCAAACTTGGCCAGTTGTGGCCTTCTGTGTGTATCACACTGATGTACATGGAAGTCTCAGTGGTGAGAGTTGAGGGGTGCACTAGCCCTCTCTCTATCCCTTATTCCGCTATGTTCCATGAGCCTTGGTTGTAGAGATTTGACTACAGAAGTGTCACCTAGTACTGGGCATCTCCCAGGTATATGTTCTCTGTGCCTGACCAGATGTTCAACTCTGGGGCAGCCTCCATCTGCTGCAAAAAGAACTTCTTTGATGAGTGCTGTATGACACACTTGTCATTCTAAGGGAGGTCTCTTCTATCTCACACTGTGTACCCTGCCAAGCAGCTCCTAAGTATACACATGCATTAATGCTCAGACACACTATGTGCATTTCTCATAGGGTTTCTAGGGCATCATTTTTCCCTCTAGGTTTCCTAGTCCCCCGAGATTCACTCATCTCTATGCTTTTTTCTCCCATCTGGCCTCCCTCCTTTCCTAGTCACAGTGCCCCCACCATCCCCACCCTCCCCCTAATACCTCCCAACTCCCACCATCTTTCCTTTCCTGACTTCCCTCACTCCCTCACACTATGGTCCCTTGCATGTCCTTCCCTCCTCTCCTCCCTGCAGATTACTCCCACTTTTTCCACCTCCCTCAGGTAACATCTGTTCCCTACTATCCCCCTTTCAGGTTGTTTCTTCTCCATAAAGGAGAAATTTTTATTTGGAAAAATAGAGACAGTAATAAAAATTTTTTTCAGGTCTGTACTGTGTTTATAACATTAATAAACCCTGTTCTGAGACTGGTGAGATAGCTCAGTCCTGCTCTCAAAATGTTTGTGCACATGATTTGGGTTTTTTGTGCTGCTGGGGATGGAACCCAAAGCCTCACACATGTTATGAAAGCACTTTACCCTGACCCACACCTCCAGCTCATTGTTTCTATATATTAAAGAAACAAACAAACAAATAGAAAGACACAGTATATTTAAGTTATAATTTAAAAAATCATCCTGGGGCAATGTCTGAATAGATACATCTATTTATTAATTCTGCTTTGAATCATAATTTTTTATATATCAAGCTTCTCTTTATTCAGGAATGACAAACATTTCACAATATTCTTTAATAAGGGCTATAAAAGCTTTGATACAAGCTGTTGAAGATGTAAGTCCTAATTGATCCTCTTTTAATGTTGAAATACAAAGTTCTCCTTAAAACTGACATTAGTGAAATGAAAGATTAGGCATTTAAAGTTTTATCATTAATCACACTGTAAAATATGCATGACTTATAGTAGACAGAATGTATGTCAGGCTATTACAAATTATACCCTCTTGAAAGAATATTCAATATCTGCACTCCAATAAAATTTTTATTCTTATCTATTGTCTTGCTTTCAATCTCTGACTTTTATATGCCCTTCATCTTTTAAATTTTAGCTTCTAAACTTTGGGTACTATTGTTCTCGTGAGGAAGTTCATCATTTTCAACCTACATAAGGATTTTAGGATTGCAGTACACTGATATTAGTTACTCAGTTCTTTAAAAATAGATAGTTTTCAGAGTCCAGAGCCCACGTCCTCATTCAACAGTGGCTTTAATGATTTCACTAACTTCAATGTCTGTGTCTTGGTTTGAATGATAATGTCCCCTATAGGCTCCAAGTATCTGAATACCTGACCCCAGTTGGTGGCATGTTTTGGGAGGCAGAAGTGTGTCCTTGCTCAAGGATGCTCATCACTGGGGGTGAGCTCTGAAAGTTCATAGCCTTGCCCCACATCCAGTCTGTCTCTCTGCTTCCGGGTCGTGCTTGAAGAGCTTGCTGGCTGCTTTGTGTCATGCCTCCCTGCCATGATGGGCTCTTATCCCTCTGGAACCATAAACCCCAAATACTCTTCGTTCTATAAGTTGTTTTGGTCATTGTATTTTATCACAGCAACAGAAAAATAACTAAAACAGCTGTCATTTTGCTGGGCATTTTTTTTTCTAGGTAAGAGCATCTGAAATATCCTTCACAGTTTCCTATTTTGAGTGCCTGATTCTAAGCTGGTGCCACTGTTTTAGAAAGCTGCAGAGCCTCTAAGAGGTGGGACCTAGATGACAGAAACAAGTCATTAGAAATGAACCTTAAATGATACACCTACCCCAATCTGTTTTCTCTACATTCTGGTCCACACCATGTCAGCAACAGCTACAGGTTCCCATTACCATATAGACTAAACTGATCCTCACTGAACATTCCCAGCTTGATGGACTAAGATTCTGAAACCATGAGCTTCCTCCCTTCACCATCCCTAAGATGCTGTTGTTAAGCATTTTGTCACAGCAACAAGAAAAAAACGAATACAAGCATGAATTGTTTTGAAAGGTGGAAAGTATGCTTTACATGTCTAGTTTATACATTTTAATTAAACAAAAATCTACAAAAGCTCCCCATTTTTCTTTCATTTTTATGACAGCATCTGACAGGTAATGCTGTACTGCTGTAAATACACAGAGATCAATCCAAATATTACTGTTTGCCTCCTTCTCCAATGGGGTGCTCTTAGAGGAAAAAAAAAAACCTCTGTAAGCAAACAAAAAAATCTATGATTTCAAACACATTCCTAAAATTCATGTATACAAGCAAGCAGCTTCTTCTTGACTGTGCCTCTTCTTTGCCCTGTCCTGTTTTCACTAGGATCATTTTGCATGACTATTTTTTCTCCCTGGGGAGATGTAAAATTAACATCTCTCAAACTGGCACAATATTGACAGCCTCCAAAATGACTCATTCAAGCTCATCTTGGTTAGTAAATGAGTTTATTAAGGGTTAGTCACAGGGCAGTGGACAACTACGGACAGCTCTATTTTTCTGAAGACACAACCCTCCACCCTATGTTATATGACCCTCCTTCCCATGTTATATGACTCTAAGTCAGATGAATTGAGGCAAACCTAGATTCAGAGCATTAAAGCAGTAGAGATGACTACAGGCTCAGACAACATAAAGCACAGAGAAAACCAAACCCGAGGAAAGTTCTATGTTTATATGTACTCTGCCCTAGCCTTTATCAAGGATTGTGCTGGCCTTCACAGACACTGACGAACTCTGGAAACGACACCATGTTTGTCTATAGTCTGACATGAAGAACAACTAAAGGACAGCTCACCTCAGGATGAAACTGCTGTCTAGAATTTGGAGAATAAGTGCCACTGCAGATCACATGTCAAGGAAAACAAGTGAATACCACTGAGAAGCCACTGGGCTAGCTGCAGGGAGGAGCCTATGATGGCTGATTTAATACACCAATTTGTGTGACCCACAAGGTCCAGGTAGTTTGTCAAAATTGTTCCAGCTGTTGCTGTGAAGGTAAGTATTAGATGGGACTAACATTTAAATCAGTAGGCCTTAGTAAAGTAGGTCACCCCTACTAAGGTAGTTGTGCCTCATCCAATCAGTCAAAGGTCTTAATAAAAATAGACTGACTTTCCCCTGAAGAAGACTGAATCTAGACTCAAGCCACAGCAACAAGTCTTTCCCCAGGGCTCCAAGTGCTAGCCTTCCCTCGGGATTTTGAACTTAACATGTGCCATTTCCTTGAAATAGAGTTGCCCCTTGGACATGCATTCCAGATACCAAATTTTACAGATGTTTCAGTCTTTTACATTAAATGGTATATAGTATTTGCACAGAAGCTATATATGTCTTCTCATATACTTCATCCTTTGATCATTTTTATATAATATGATGTAAATACTGTATAAATAGTTACTATAATGTACTGCTATATTGTTCATGGAATAATAATGAGAAGACTGTCAGTGTATGTCCAATGCACACAATTTTTACTGAATAGCTTTGATCCACATTTAGTTGAATCCAAGAATGTATCATCCATATGTGAAGGGCTAACTATGAATCAATCTATCATCTGTCAGTCTCTGTCTCTGTGTCTCTGTGTCACTGTCTCTCTGCCTCTCTCTCTCACACACACACACACACACACACACACACACACACACACACACACACACATCCCTATCGCCTTTGGTTCTATTTCTCTGCAGGTCCAGATTAGCATAGTGCTCACCACAGATGAGCTGAACTCTGCACACATCTCCACACTGCATCACATGTACACGCTGTGAGACACTATATCCATGCCCTCTGACATGCTTCCTTTTACCAAAATTAAAAGGGCTCTTAAACTGCTAGTGGAAAGGACTGGCCTTTTCACCTTCTAAAGCCAGAAACACAGAACAGTCTAAAGCAAGAAGCACATCTCATCACCTGCAGGACTAGAACACAAATGAACTCAGAAGTCACTTATGAAAGCTTCCAAAGCCTGTGTTGTCCTTTCCAACTGAAAACACTCCTTCATTCAAAGGAACCTGTCTCTTGGCATCTCTGTTTTCATCTATGGAATCTATAAGAGGGAATCTGTCAGCAATGACGGAAAAGCCATGAGCTAGTTTGGATTTTTAAGCTTCTTCCATTCTATCAAAATGTAGAGCTTCTTTAACTGACAGACATTTTTGCTGCAACTGGTCAGAAATGTTTTCTCTTTCCTATAGACTTAGAGCTGCCTATGATGAGTAGGGCTAAACTTGAGGTGTAGTGGCAGCAGCGGATGGTTTCTGGGTCTCCCTGATATGAATCTGCACACAGGAGGGCCCTCACTGGGTTCCATCAAACTGTAGATGGAGGAGGAATGGCCAAGTCCAGCCTACTCCTCACTTTTGAATAAAGTATGTTAGCAGAGAAATTAGCTCATGCCTGGAACACTCTCTGTGTGCTACAGCCTGGAGATAAGGACTAGGAGACTCAGAAGTTCTGGTGACTGCAGAATAGCCTGCTGGAGTGGCTGGCATTTGGAAAGCTGGAAAGTTTTCACCATATCATCAGGGTCTCTGAATCACCAAACCACTAAACCCATACAGTGTCTAAACTATCCTACTTATTTAAGGTTTGGGGAGAGGAAGGAGAAAAAATAGTTTCGGGGAAAGACGTGTATGATAGAGAAATTATTCTTGAGCAGAGTAGAAGCAACATGGAGAAGGAACACACAGAAGAAAACTAAAGCCGCAGAGGAAGATACTGACAGCAACAGGAGTTTTGCTCCATCTCAAAATAATTTCCTTCAAGAGAAGATTCCAGAAACTTCTGCACCATAGAACTTCTGCAGTAATGTTTTGAGAAGAAAATTCATTTATTTGTTTAATGAGGCTCAGTACCTGTGGTCCTGGGGAGGGTCAGCTCCTAGGGACTTATCAAGGAGTGTCCTTGCCTCAGAGAATAGGCCAGCATCAGAGTCTGGCCATGGTCTCAGAGATGAGTGTTTGCAAATTTTAGAATGACTCTTCTTGACCAAAATCAGAGATTGATGTTTTAAAAAAAAATCCAAATTGCACTCATGTACTATTAGAGACAGCTGATGCCACCAACCAGACCTGAGAGTCCTCTGGACATAAGATGCCTACCTAGAGGACACTGTGGGAGAAGCCCACTTACACACATGCTGGCCTACACAGAGCAACCAATCTTGACTTCTCTGCTCTCATCTTCTTTAGCCATGAGAGGTGGGAAGCCAAATATGTCTAATTGTTGTTTCTAGGCCCAGCATTAAAGTTCAGGAAGTGAGTGTGTGATTCAGTTGCTAAGGGTCTGTCCCAGGGTCACACAAATGGCTAGCCTGCTGAGCCCTCACCAGTGATGACTTTAGTCTGTATCCTAATCTAAGAACAGGTTCACTCTTTCCTCTGTGCCACATCTGGTGACTCTTACTGTGATCAACACACTCTTTACATGCACCAACACACTTAGCTTTGGGCTCTAATCTTGATGTATTTTGTTCAGAACCAGACATACGTAGATTCATATTTCAGCTCTCATTAAACTTTTCCTGCCATTGGATGGTACTGGGAATGGTGTCAAGGGCTTCACACATACTAGACAAGCACTCTGCCACTGAGCTATACCCCTATCCCTACTCAACATCTCTTGAGCATATATTTATGCCAATATCATTCTATGCCTTGAAAGCAGGTAGGAAGCAAAACACGAAAAAAAAAATAACCCTCCACTCTCATGAAGTTTACACTGTAGTCTAATTCAGGAAAACCCCAAAGAATGTGTGTTTAGGGAAGATAAGTGCCAGGAAGAAATAAGACAAGGAGAGTAGACTCAGAAGAGTGGGAGATGGGGATCCAGTGAGATGACACGTGAACACAGACATTAAGAAGGCGAGAAGGGAGTCATTTGGCTAATGGAGAAGAATGGTTCCAGAAATGGGAAGTACAACATTCCTGAGGCAGCAAAGAGCAAAGGGAGAGGATGGGTGAGCAGTGCAGCCACACTGAGCCAAGCCACAGGCTCCAATCCCTGTTCTAGGTGGACCTGGAGGATGTAAGAAAGAGGATGATCTGATCCATTCCTTTTGACTGGGCATACTGGCTGCCAGGGAAAGATGGTTTCAGGAGAGACATGTTACCTGGGAGGTCTCTAAGGGTGACTAAGTGGCTAGTATAGTCGGAAATGACAGACACCTGAGTAAGAGTCAGCACTGTCCTTGTTTGTGACTTAAACCTTTCAAGTTCATTTCTTCATCTGTACAATGAAAAGAACTGTGACATTTACCTCAGAGAACTACTGTGAGGATTAATGATGACTGACAGACTGTAGGCTGCATTACATGGACACAGTGCACAGCAAGTGGTGGCTACAACTACTGTTCTTACCAAAGAGCCCACGTCCAACACACTGCTTCATGCTGCTGTTTTTCACATCTATCAATACAAGATTTTTTTGTTGTAATTGTTGAGACAGGGTTACACTAAGTTGCCCAGGCAGGCCTAGAACTCAGTCTTCTTCCCCAGTCTCCTGAGTGCGGGGATCACAGGTGTATATCACCACACTAGGCTTAACACAAGATTTTCTCCAAGATGAAATACTTTCCATCAGACAACTCATATACTCAATTTGAAAACTATACTTATTTTAGTTTTTCCTTGCTTTGGCCTGGCTCATAGATTTATGCTCATATATTTAAACATAGAAGCTGTTTTAAACACATCTGTATCTAATTTCACATGTATTAGACTCAGTAAAATGTGAATGAGTCTGCTTGGCTGTTAGGTCCATCTCATCTCAACTATACTGTTTTCTAGACAGTCTCCTCCAGGTACACATATGCACTTGGGTACCAGCGTATATATAAGCATCTGCAGTTTGCTTAGAGAAGATATTTTGTTTCACAGTTCACTGAAAACACAAAATGAAGATACTAGCATACAGATATTATTACAACTGCATTCCCTTACCTCTTGCAGAAATTTTTCGCTCATCTGACTGAAATGGTGCCCTGGGGGCTTGATCCCAGACACCATCAATCCAGATGGGAAGACCCTTGGCTTCTGCGAGTCTGGCTTGAATTTCTCGTACAAATTGGTAGAAGGTTGAAGTTCGCAGGTCGCTGCCTTCTCCTCCTGGGCAAGTGGCATGCCGCATGTGGGCGTGGCATATGGAAGCCCTACAGGGACCAGTGAGGCATCCCCCTGGCCCAGCGCCTGCGGGTTCCTGCGGATATAGGTAATGATCTTGGGCCTCACGTGCTTGGGTTTTGGCATGAGGACTGGCTTAGTCTCTGTCGTCCTTTCTTCTGTTTTCTCAACCTCATGTTTCTCCATTGCTTCCAGCGCGGAAGGCATGTCCTTGGGATGTGTAACAGGCTTGGGGATCCCACTGGGGCTAGTGTTCTTGTCAGGCACTTTCGGGGACGTATCCAACACCCGCCCACTCTCAGTGGAGGGTGAGGCCACCGAGGATGACCCTGTGTTCACACTGAACACACCGAGCTCCTGAAAACCACTACCTGGTAGAGTGGGATGGTGGATCAAGTTCACAGTTGTCTCTGGGTGGAGGGGGGCAGGGGTACTGAAAACTGAATCTGCTCCAGCTAGGGTGATTTCAGGCTTGGCTTCATTTTCTAAAAGGTTCCTATCTTCAGATACAGGTATTACAGTCTCTCTGCTTTGTCTGGCTTCTGAGCCACCACTTTGAAGGTCCAGGAGCTCAGCAACCTCAGTTCCATACTCTCCCACAGAAGGACCTGAGGCCAGTGCCTGGGCACTGCCTGTGTCCCCACTATCCTGACTCCTTAACTCCCCACTGACCCGGGAGGATGTCCTATCCATTGGTTCACTGGGAACAAAAGCTCTATGGCCATCACCAATCACAAAGTTGCCGGATGTTGTTTCCTCCACTCTCCTACCTGCATTTGGTGACATTTTGCCAGTGAGCTGACTGCTGGCCTCTCCGGAAGGGCCAATGCTTTGTTCAGGTTCAGCTTGCAGAGACCCTTCTCCACCAATGCTGACTCCCATCATCTCTTCCAGGCTGCTGCGTCTTCCCACCCCAAGGTGCTGGCAGCTGCTGTCTGGTTGACTCTTGGTTTCTTTGTGTGCTTCCCCATGTGGCACCTTCCTCTCTACAGGTGACACACTTTCTTCCCTGTGACATCCCAGATCCCCTGTCTGGGCTGGCTTTAGTTCCTGCTCAGTCCTGGGTTGAACATATTTGAGCTCCAACTTGGGCTCCCTCCTTCCCTGACCTAAATGTGCTTCTAGATAACTGAAGATTTCCTTTGATGCTGAAACTAAATGGGGAGTGGGCTCAGGATGAGCTGCACGAGCTGTGCACTCATGGTAAACATTCAGGCCATGTGCCACCTCCATCTGTGTTTCTGATGGGATGGACCCCTTGGCTTCTGAGGTAGATGGTTTAGGAGGATGCACACTCTTTTCCTCTGAGGTACTATCAACTGGAGTAAACACTGCCCCAGGAGAGAGGCCAGCTGATGTTCCCTGTGTTCCTTCTCCACCCCCATGCACAGGGCCCCATGATTCAGGGGTATCCAGCCACGCAGGCTGCAGGTGCTGCCGAGTGAGGCTGCCAGGTGCAGTCACAGAACTGCTTGCTCTTTCCACAGAATGCCTTTTCAGCTCCTCATTGTCAAGGGTCTTTGCCAGTTTGTCCTTGGGAACATGCTGGGGAATTTCAGCATCCCTTTTAGTCAACACTTCTGGAATGGCCTGACCCACTGCATTCTTCCAACTGGACAGACTTGGTCTCTGGACACTCAGAGGGGTCTGTGGAATGTCTGGGCCTCTTTCCACTGTGTGTTCTTCACTCAGTTCCCTGTGGTCGGTTGAAGAAAGTTGAAAATCTCTCTTGCTGGTCTGAGATCCTCTCCCAAAGCCCTGGACAGGCTCCTTCTGGAAGTGGCTATGGTATTCTGGCCCACTTAAATTTGCATTACCAATTTCATCAACCAGATCACATGTCTTGGGCTCATCATGAGAGGAGCTGATCTCCAACATGATTTGATTAGCATTTGTATCTCCCAAACTTAGAATACTCTCATTGTTATTTTTTGCTCCATTCCGATGGTCCTGCAGCTGACTGAAGCAGGATTTCTTTGGAGCCACTGGAATGCTCATAGTCCCCACTTGAGTGAGGACTGCTGGCCATGCAGTCCTTAATGGAAAGGGCTTCCTTCAAGCTTTGATGCAGTAACAGGCAATCCTCACACTTCCTGTCCTCCTCTGACAATGTCACAACAAGACACTGCATTAATCATCTTCTGATGAGTTTCAGAATCAAACATTGTTTTGAAGCACAGCAAAATACAGCTTAGCTGTCACATTCCATTCCTGCTCAATGCAAGCTCATTAATCCACAGGACCTGGAGAGAAATAAAAGCACAACCACATTAGAGCTCAGGAATAAGAGATGCCCGCATGGTGATGACACAGACATAACCCTTCTATACTCTTACTGTATTTGCTTAACAACTTCTCAGAAACCTTTCAAATAGAGGCTCCTGCTGGCCTAATATGATTAAACAAAGCATCAAAGGATGTCAGAAATGGGTTTTAATGTATGCGTGTATGTTGTCTTGATTTGTGTGTAGTGTTATAAAGTAATACAATAGTCTTCCTTCTCCTGAACTTTTCCTCTCTGTTTTTTATCAGAAGTGAACTATAATCTTAAAATATTAAACATAAAATTCTAGAAATAAAAAAATTGTATGTTTTAATTGGGTATAGGTTTTAATAGTGTAATGGAATCCTGTGCTGTCCTGTCTGTCATGTGGAGATAGACGATTCCCTGTCTTCAGCTTGTCTGTACTGTACAGACACTACCTGTCCTTCAGGCACTTAGCAGGTATCTGTGTCATTAGACTAACTGCCAACATATCCCAATACCTGTGCTCTGTAATCTGCTGCCACATCACAGCATCAAATCTTTTACTCACTTTATCAAAGGCATCACTGCAAAAAGGTAAGTATAATGCAAGTTATTTTGAGAAAAAAATAAAGATCCTATTTAGATGGTTTTTATTACAGTATGTTGTTATAATTGCTCTGTTTTATTGCAAGTTATTTTTGCTACTATTACTTGTTATATTTGCTAATCTCTTACTGGGCCTAACCTAAAAGGTAAACTTTATGACAGGTGTGTACGTAAAGGGAAAAAATACTACTGGAAAATCCAAGCACCTTGGGGTCTTGAAATGTATCCCCATGAATGAAGGCGGACTACTGCACTGAGCACACACAGTACACACACACACACACACACACACACACACACACACACACAGACACAGACACACACACACACACACACACCTGAGAACCCATATCATCTCAGGGAATTTTTTTTTTTCTTTTTGAGAGAGGAGCATTGTTTGTCTTTTTGAGACCTGGAACTCACAGAGATCCGTCTGCCTCTGACTCCTGAGTGCTGGGATTAAGCTGTGTGCCACCATGCCTAGCCCATCCCAGGGATTTTACAGTCACTGTAGCACTTTCCTCCAGCTCAGCTTCCACCTTCCTAATGTCCTATCTGTTAGCCCGTCCTGAGCATCCCTACAAACTCTACCCTACAGCTTCCCTTCCCATTCATTTCTCTTCTGTCTAGACAAAAGCCTTTTTACCCCATTCTATGTGAGTAACACCCTTTCCTATAAGCTGGTTCTTTGCCAGGTTTTTTTTTCTAATGTGTCTCTTCTCTTCTTTACATGAAGACAGATTAACACAGTTGTCTCCATCTCCCCATCCCCTGGGAACATGCACTCACCTGCACATATTCTCACTGCCATTCCCTGCTGCATTTATTGTAGACTCATCCCCTGTCTCTCTCATAGTCCTCATCTTTCCCAATCCCACAAATTCTTCTCCAAGTCCACCCTCAGCAAGCCAGTAGCACCCCCAGGTGCAACTGACCTCAACACAGCCCCTAACTAAGGAATTGATCCCAGTTCCTCTATGACACAGACAGACTGTACCATAACTACTGTTTCTTTTTTCAATTTTCAACATGTTTCACTTAAAGATACATTTGTCCTCTGGGCACAAATATGAAAAATATGTAGGCAAACTGATATGAAGCTGTCTTAAAGAATACTGGGCTATCTGGACTGAGAAATGAGAGGACTAGAGAGTCAAGGAGAGCAAGAAATTCCAGAAGTGTGGCCAGCCACAGCACGTTATCACCTCTGACTCTCTGTGGACAGAAGTGCAGACACAAAGCCAAGAGCTCTCTGTGGTCTGAACTGTCAAGGTTGAAGAATGAACTACATTCTGCAAGGACGAACAAAACCAGAGCACCACAAACCACAAGGAAAAATCCAACAAGTATTGTAATAGAAAGTGACGAGAGGCATAAAACCAATGTCTTGCTAGGGAAAGTTGTGTTGTGGCTTTTAAAGAATTGCATCAAACAAAACCAGAGCACCACAAACCACAAGGAAAAATCCAACAAGTATTTTAATAGAAAGTGACGAGAGGCATAAAACCAATGTCTTGCTAGGGAAAGTTGTGTTGTGGCTTTTAAAGAATTGCATCACTTCCCAGGCATGGTGGCACATACACATACCCTTAGTCCCAGTACTTGGGAGGCAGAGGCAGGTGGATCTCTGTGAGTTCAAGGCCAGTCTGGTCTATATAGAGAGGTCCAGGTCAGCTGGGGCTACAGGGAGGCTCTGTCACAAAGGAGAAGAAAAAGAAAAAGAAAAAAAAAACTTCAAGAATTGCATCACCAGAGTTTTTTTTTAGTGATCAGGAATAATTCTCAATACCTGTATTCATTTGTAAAATTTCATTCTTTAAGTTATAATTATACAATTTGCTATGGTTTGTCCCCTTCAAAACTCATGTTTAAATTTAATACCTAAAATGAGGCTTTAAGTGGATAGAAACTGAACCCAAATATGCCTTTCAGAAGTGGATTCTCTTCCCACCTTGTGGGAAGGGATTTGGATAGATAAGATCCTCAAGGTGGAACCTCTAGTCTAAATTTTGGTGACTTTAAACAATAAAGCAGAAACCAAGACATATATCCACACGTGTCCTGTCCTGTGCTACCTCAGGACTCTGCCAGCCGGAAGGTCACCATTAGATGCAGCTGCTTCATCTTGGACCAGAGCCATGAGCCAGAATAATGTAGTCAGCTTGTGGTGTTATGTTATCAGGAACAAAAAGAGGCTAGTGCAGGAATATTATTTATTTCATGTGCACTTAATTTTTTAAGCAAAGTGATATTTCCACCATAGATAGGTTTTTAACATTCCTTTATTTTTTTAAAAAAATCATTTTCTTCTTTTTTTCTGCTTCCAGGTAAGGAAATGGAGGCAGAGAGGAGACATTCTCAATGTCATACAGCTAGTGGTGCAGCAAGAACAAAGACAAAAAGAAGAAACTGTGAAAAAGAACGTCTGGGAATGGGTGAGGTCATACAGACCACACAGGAAATAAACAAGACACCAGTGTAAGAATGAGAACAGAAGGCAAGACTAGAACCAAAAAAGGAGAGGGCTGGCAAGATGACTCAGGGAGTAAGCCGCTTGCCACAAAGCCTGATGACCTGAGTTCAATCCCTGGGACCCACATGGTGGAAGGAGAGAACCAACTCCTGCAAGTTATTCTCTGAACTCCACATGCAGTGTGCTGTAACACAGACACACACAGAGACACACACACACACACACACACACACACACACACATACACACAATAAATAAATGTTAAAAAAAATAAGAGAAAACTCGAAAGAAATACAAAAAAATCCATTTTAACACTGACTTCAATTACCTGGCAAAATTACACACAAGACACAATGTTTCCTAGTTCCTTCCCTCCCTCACAGCACCAATTAAAATGATGAAGTCCAAGTTGAGCATCACTTATCTGAAACATTTTGAAGCAGAAAAGTTTCAGATTCCCAAGTTTTCCAGATTATTGGAATATCTGTCTAGGTTCTGCTGGTTAAGCATCCCTAATCTGAAAAATCTAAACTACTCCAAAAGGGTTTTTGAATTAGAGATACTCAGTCCCTATCCTAACCTGTACTGATTCAATTCTACACATTGGTAGATAGATTCTAAGGTCTGGAGAGATGGCTCAGCAGTTAAGAGCACTTACTGTCATTCTTGCAGAGGACCTAGGTTCAGTTCCCAGCACCCATATGGTGGCTAATGACCATCTATAACTCCAATTTCAGGGTATCTGATGCCCTTCTGGCCTACACAGGCACTTCAGGCACATGGTACACCTACACAATGCTGGCAAAACACTTGTACACATAAAATAAAAACAAATAAACAAAAAAAAGCATTGTTTGTCTTTTTGAGACAGTCTCCTGTAGCCTCAGCTTGCCTGGAACTTGCTATGTAGACCAGCCTGGCCTCCCTCTCACAGAGATCCTCCTGCTTCTGCCTCCCAAATGCTGGGACTAAAGGCATATGTCACTGTACTTGGCTTCAAAAAACATTTTAAAAATAACCATAAAAAGCTCTCTGTCAAAAAGCTCTCTCTTGAACTATAGTTTGCTATATTGCTATCATATTCTAAAAATTTGGGGCCCATTCTTAATTGTTTACATGTATGTAGGAAGTGTGTGCATGCACATGCACATGAGTGTGTGTGTGTGTATGTGTCTGTGTGTGTATACACATGTGTACACACAGGTGTGGAGGCCAGAGGTTAATTCTGAGTGTCATTCCTCAGGAACCATCCACACTTTTTTGGAACAGGGTCTCTCACTGGGGCCTGGTGCTCACTGATTAGGCGAGGCTTAGCCAGCAAGTCCCAGGGACCCACTAGTCTCTACCTCCCCAGCACTAGAATTATAAATACACACCACTATGCCCAGCTTTTTACACAAGCTTTGGGGATCAAACTCAGGGCCTCAGATTTGCATGGTAAGCACTGTACTGAGTTATTGCCCCAGCTCTGTCCTTAATTTTTCATCTAAAATACTGGCAATCCATTCTGTTTTCATGTTCTTTGAAGAGATGAGTGCTTTCAAGAACATTTTTCAGCTACTGATAGCAGCAAAAGAGGGCAAGGGAGTATCCTCTGGTGCCACAGGGATGAAAGCCCATGATGCTGTACCTAAGAGCTGAATTATAGGAGAAGAAACCCTGTCACCCATGTTGTAATGTTGGCAGTGACAGCATCACCTTTCATACAAAAGAAAAAACAGACAATGAAAGTGAAGATAGGCTGGGGAGCCAGCTCAGTTGGAGATGGCTGTGTAAGCATGAGGACCTGAGTTCAGATGCCCAAATGCTGGGCATGGTTGCACTTGTGTGTAATCGTAGCCTTTTACAGTACAAAGACAATAAAATCTCTGAAGCTCATTG